AGGAGCATACAGACAGTGCAGCATGCCCTTCATTGAGCAGGTGGGAGAGGTTTTCATCTCAGGGTGCACAGTGTCTGCTGAGGTGGTCTCAGTCGCTGGTGGGAACTACCTACCATCAGCACCCCAGCAAAGAAATGTTTTGCCCTTGACATTATTCATGAGTACTCGGCTTGTAGGGGGAGGCTGATTTAAACCTCTTCCCCTAATAAACCACAGCTGCAAGAAATGCACTTGCTGAACCCTGTTACACAGAACAGCTTTTAGAAGGTACCGTTTAGGTTGAAACCAGTGAATGAATTGAGCCCCTGGCCAGTCCCATCAGTAGGAGTAGGGGCAAAGTTCTTAAGAAAAGAGTGGAGGTGGCAGATTTTTTAGATGCCTATCTGTGCTCTTCCCCTAGCATATCTATATAGATTGTATTTGAAGAGGATTAAAGATAACCAGATTTTTCAATTTAGAAACTAACTGCCTCACAGATCCTAAAATACCTTTTTTTTTTTTTTTTTTTTTTTTTTTTTTACAAATGGCAGCCTTAAAATTCCACTATATTTGACAGCTGGGACAGAGGATGGCTTTTAAAACAGCCATAGGAAGTTCTTTACTGTTCATGTTTGGTTTCGCAATTTTCCAAGCAAAAAGGTAGCATTTAAATCTTACTTTAGAGCACAGGTGCCCTTTGGTCATTGGGAAACTGAGCACACATGCTACAGGAGCACCAGGAGTATCGATGGGCTAAAACTAGTCCCACAGAAGTCTCCTGTTAGCCCTTGCCAGAAAGTACAAGATCCTTTTGTTTCATTTCCTTCATCAGACAGCTGCTTAACAAATGTCTGCCTCTCAAAGGGCCCTGCAAACACACGCCTCTGAAAAAAACACGTGCCTTCCTGATGGCAGTTCTCTCGCAGACCATCTGGGCTAGGGCATTTGTGACAAACTTGTCACAGTGAGGGTTACCTTCTTTTGCAGGGAAGCTTCTGACGGTTATTGCAACAAATCTACAGAGGGAGCTGCATGGGCACAAGCAAAAACCAGATTAGGTTCTTTGTGGTTATCCTTGACTTGGAGTATGTGCCAAAGACTTTCATCCCTGCAAAATGAAAACTTCATTCAGCTCACATTTTCCGTACAAACTTGTGTTAAGTTTTTTGTGTTATGGTTTTACCTTGGTCTAAACCAGAGTGGCAATGGAGTCCTGCATATATTTTATCACCTAGGAAGTTAGAGATAGGTAGGAACTCAGCGTATTTTTGACAGTACAAAAGGCAGATGCCAGACCTGCCAGCTTGCAGTACTAAGTTCTTGCACATCCTCTGCTGTCGGAGATCAAGCTGGTAGACTTGCCTGCGGTAAAATCTGTTGTTGTTCTTCTGTAGTTGGTTTCTACCCTGCACAAAGGGGTGTTTCTTTCTTTCTTTTTCTTTTCCTTCCCCCAAGCACAAACTCGTGCCAAAGCTTATGCTGGATGAAACACTCCTGAGGCTCAGCTTCCGTACTGTGCTAAACTAAAAGCAAGGAACATGCTCACTTTCTTAATGCCAGACAAAGGATCCTGTCCCCAGCAGGATACACTAACATTTCCACCAACAGTACACGCAGGGGACTGGGTTCTCCCCGTAAATGAACGGGAGTTAGGCTTAGTATCAGGATCCTTTACAACCCAAGTCCTATTCAAATACTGCACCTGCACAGGCTGCCAGAATACCATCACTGTCCATTTCCCCTCAGATACAGAGTGGAACACTCAGGGTGAGTGTTTAAAAGGAAATATAAAATATTCTTATAAATGCTGGTCTACAGATTCTGGTTGTGGCAAATTAACAACAAAGTTTTCCTGCCCTTTTTACTTAGAAAAAAAATGTTCCTGTAAGTACTTATGATTTGCTTTGTTATTTTCTGTGAAATACATACTTCTATATTTTTTCCACAAATAAATCTGGAAAAATTATTGGAAAGTGAACTGATCCTTTTATTTTAACACAGCTTCAGGCCAGTATCTAGATTAAGCTTTTCTTTCCCCTATACTGTTTAGCATTTTTTGATGCATATGACAGAGAATATTGGATGCTGGTGTAAGCATGGAAGTGTTACGCAGCAAGACTTTTAGGAAGAAATAAGGCCAGCATATGCAAAAACTGAAATAGCTGCACACCAGCTCAGACTGTAAGAAAGGTACAGCGGTTGTGTTATTTTACCTCCAAGACAGTCATGCACCTCGACCGTTAAGTCTTCTCTGCTTCTAAACGTGCAATTCCAGCTTTTAAACATTAAAATACAAAGCCCCATAAAATATACTAACAGGCATCCTGCCCTCCTCCATTGGTTGTCACACACCGTGCAGTTCTGAACTACTGCCCAAGCCACAGCACGAGGGCGGTAATGGACAAAATGAAAGCCAGTTGCTGTCCAGGGGGCTTTAAGAGGATTTACACTTTCTTTGATTCACTAAGGGAAGACATTATTACTAACAAATTGTTTTCAATTCTCCATCAGGGGTGCAGAGGGATAACTGGAGATAGCCTCTTCAGAACTTCTGACATTCTCCTTATGCACTGCAAAGCCTTTTGTATTTTTTTTAAATCCTGCCTTAAAGCTCCATCCAAGACCCCATAATGCTGCTGTTTACACCCCACCCTGACACCCACATGGCCCACTTTGTTTTGCTAGGCAGACACAGGTTAGTCCTTGGTTAATCTGATGTCAGTTCTCAAAGACTCAGTGAGCAGTAGTACATGGGTGAGGAGCTTTGATCCCTTCTGCCCCATGAGGCTGAGCTTCAGTCCTCGTTTCCTGACGCAAGGTTCACGTAACTGTTTTGTACAGTGATTATGCACTTGGCCATGCAATCTCTGCGGTGTTCGAACAGCCAGCCATTTACAATTAACTTGTGTACTTGTAACTTCCATCACTTAGTCAAAAAGGGCATTTATATTGTTTGATAATACCAAAGAGAAGTAGAATTCCTAGGGTTAGCATTCGCTTTATACATTCTCACTTCAGGGCAGCCGAAGTGATCACATGTACTTTGATACACCAGAGGCTTATTTTTATACCTGTGAGGGCAGCCACCGTCATGCTGCACTCCAGAATGCAGAAAGAGCTCCAACAGAAAAGTAATTGGAGAAAGCTCGTTCATTTACGTGTACTCCATAGCAATGTACGTTCATTTAAGTTGGTCACATTTGTAACGATGGCTTTTATGAAGTTGAAAATAAAATGAGTTTTCCATTAATTTATTAGACACGCAGTCCTGCCTGGTTGCTTGCACGTTTGTTTGAAGGGTGATTTACCTGCCAAGTCTGGGGGTCGCCAAAGGAAGAAGGCTACAGCAAGATCTTTAAACAAATCTTGCCCAAGGGTGGTATAAAAGTAAGGGTATGGTGGGTTCCGCACCCTTCTGTACTTCCTGACCAGTGGGCTCACCCTGCTGGGAGCTGAACCCAATCAGGGCATACACAGAACATAATATTAATTCATTGCCCAGGTGCAGGGAGTTCGGGCTTCCAGTCAGAACTGGCAAGATGAGAGGAAATCTGATAGCAAGAGGGATGAAAAAAAGAACAAACCCACCCTCCACGCACCCCAAACAAACCAGGGAAGTGTAATGGGGTTGACTGGCACGTCTGCAAAAATAAGATACTTAACCACAAATACCTCTGCTCATTTTTCAAACTGTATGCAGCACAGACAATAGCTTAACTACAAAAGTGAAGTAAAAACATTTAATACAATGTGGCACTTCTGTGCTACTTTTCATTTCCTAGTTTATACTGTCCCAGCTTCTCCCCAGCTGTTGGCCACACCAGGAGACAGAACCACCAACTTCTTGTCCTAAGCATTTACTGGGCTGGGAAATGCTACCAGTGGAAGGATTCAGCCTTCGGGTCTTGTATATCTATTTAAAGCTATTACAGCTTAAAAGCTATAGTGTGTTGAATCTAATTTTTATGAAAACAGGGTTTTTTTACCTCCAATTCCTGATGGTGTTGTGCCCCTTTCCGGAATTCCCCGGAATTTTGGAAACCTCACTACAGCTCTGGTCTCACACAATTCAGGACAAGAAGTGAAGAATGAGGGATGCAGGGATTCAGGAAGCTGGAAGGAGGTAACAGTTGTCCACACACTGCGAAGGCTTCCAGTACCACAGAGCGACAGCGGGCTGCAGTCTGTGACTGGAAGTGGCTATTTAAAGACTAAATCTGCTGCGGGAGAAGATTCGGTTCTCAGTACTTGAGATACACTTCGCTTGCACAGACTCGAAACG